TATATATATATATATATATATTTAGAATAGTTATATATGGGCACATACATTGAATATTATTGCTAATTTAATTTATTTATGTGCAACAATATTAGCATATTATTTTTATCGAAATGACAAAATAACAAATTCAACAATTGTACTTCTATTACAAATATTTGGTGATATTGTCTATCTAATTGATGCTTATCTTTATCATGAATGTTGGCAACGAGATAAAAAAGAATTTGATGCTGCAACAGAACAACAAAATTTAAATAAATTTTATTTAGAAAAATTTGATCATCAAAGTAAAACTAATGAAAATAAATAAAAGTGAAAAGAAGAAAAGAAAAACATCTTATCAACCAATCATTTTCAAATGAATTATATATTTTTTTTTGTCTGTACAGACAAACAAGAGAAGACTACCAATGATTGATTAATATAATCAGTAAAGAGAAACATATAGTTTCATTTTTAATAAAAATTCTTTATTATCTAAACTATGTAAAATTTCAAATGTTAGGAAGAACAATGAGATCTGACTTTTGAGAAAAAAAAAATTTCTTCGAGACAAACAGTAATTATCCTTCTAGGTCGAGAAGAATGTAGGAGAAGAAAAGCTTTCATTCCATTGAAACTTATCCATGTTACATTAACAAATCATAGAAAACATATGTCCATAATTTGTATTATTATTCTATTAAAATTTTTTCTAATCAATAGTTAAAAATCCTGCAGATTGATGTGAATAAATAGTTCGTAAATAAAATATTAATTTCGTTACTATAAAAGAAATCAGACACATCATTACTATGTTCTTAAAAAGCGACAAGCAAAAAAAAACATCGTCTCTCTCTCTCTCTCTTTGGCCTATTATTTATTCTTGTTTTACTTTATTGTTATTAATTCCGGAATTCATCTATCACATACGTTGATCTTATTAGTGTATTCAGTTGATTGATAGTATGTTTATCAATTGATATTCGACAATAGAGAGAACCATTTTTTTTTTGCTTTTTATTAACAAAACATTTTCATGTTCTTATTGTCGTTCGTGTTCAAATGACAATCAAGCAGATTAGTTCGCTTACAAACGTTTATTAGAAATCAAATATGTCTCATGATGTCTGATGTCACACATATAACATATATTTATGATTAAATAGATGAAATCGTAGTGTGAGACTAATGCGATTAGATCATCATCATTATTATCAACAATATCATGTTGTTCGATATAAACGAAGAATCAAGAGAAAGAATAAAAGAAAAAAAAAAGAAAATCGTCAAGAAGAGATTGATGTCAACTAATTTTGACTAAAAGGCTAAATATAGATAATTGAGATGCGTCTGTTTTTCTCATTGAATAAATAAACTTACGACAATCAATGATAACAGTTTGTACCAACAATATATACAATAATCGTACTAATGAACTAACATCACTGCCAGGCTATAATATATCAGAGGGAAAAAAAAAGAAGCTTTAATACATCAAAAGAAAAGTAGCCGCCATTTGATCTAAGAGAAAGACATATACATTAATTCATAAAAGAAGAAAACATTGTTTTATATGTCGACTAAACTCTTCTGGTAAACATCCGATATAGTGACACCACCATCATCATCATCATCATTATTTTCTCGCACATTATCGATCAATCAATTGCATTTAGTAAAGCAACAATAAAAAAATAAATAAATAAAGAAAATTAGCATAGAATGCTAAAAAAGCTAGAAATAATGTGTTATGATATTAAAAAAAGATTCATTTGGATAAATTTTAGATTTTTTTTTTCTTTGTAAAATTGAATATGAATATGTGTATACAGAAAGTGAAAAGAAAAAGAGAGACATTAAAACAAAAAACAACAAGAAAATACCACGAACAATAGTATGTATATGTATATATATATATAGATATATGTGTGTTAATATAAGAAAATGTTAAGTTCAACGATCTCCAATTTTATTTGCTGCTGCTGCTACTGCGGCTGTTTCTTGTTGATGACGTTTAAGAAGTTTTTCATAAGCAGCTGCTAATGCTACTGGATGTGTCTGAGCAAAATGAAGAAAATTACCAGACAATGGATAAATATTAGCAAATTGATGTGTTGGAGGTAGTGGTGTTAAAGGTGGAGGTAATAATGGTAAATGATTTTCACGGTGAGTTGGATTAT